AATGGAGTCAATACTTAACTCTGGCTTTGAGAAATGCTAAGAAAATTACTTCTAAATGAATGAATAAACTCAACATGTTTATGATGCCAAATGAGGGAAGAGAAGAAGGAGGGGGCAAACCCTGCCTACACCTTTGAAAATGCAGCTCAAGGGGCTCTGCTTCCTCTTTCAGCCATTTTAAAAGTATGCGGACTGCCTAGGCCTGAGCTAATTTTCCTGCTGTAGAAGTTAAGGCACTTCCTCCACAGTTACTAAATCTGACAAATTACACCTGGGCCCATTCTAATGTGAAAAAATGTGCTCTTTGTTCCTGACCCCTTGGTCAGCCTAGAGATCAAATTCCCGACATTGGAAAGCCCCACTCATATTCATTAAACTCCATGGGAGCACAGTTCTGTGTCTCAGTTGCAGAGGAAAGAGCAAGGTGCAGGCACTGGCCGAACAATACAACTGCTCCACTCCAGTTCACGGGCTATGGACTTTCTGCTTTTTGCAGCTAGGCTTGCTGATCTGTTAGTATGTGGGTATTTTTTTTTTTCTCCACACTATCTTGTTATCAAAAGAACAACTGAAATCAGAAAAATATTTTAACAGCCAAGTCCCACTGAAACCCGCTTATAATAAAACGCTGGCTACAAATTTCAGTAACTAAAAGATGATTTCAAAACTCCACTTCCCCTTCAGTCCGGCCAGACAAGAAATTAGTCACCACAGTGGCTAATATTTGACAGATTAGATTTCTGTCTTCGCTCTCTAACTAAACTTGGCCTTTGGGGAAGATGCTGCTGAGGGTAGCCAGTGAGTCAGAAGGAGGAAAGTGGGATCCATCCTGCAAGCTAAGCATCAATTCTGGTCATGGAAAACCCAGGAGCTTTCAAACCTGGAGGCTGATCCAGCTGATCTATACAAGCCTCCTCTTCTTCTGTCCCCTCAAAACAAGAGAAGGAAACAGTGGCAGAAGTTAAGCAGAGCTGTGACTGAACTATGTAAAAAGGATGTCTGACCACTTTATTTAAGACAGAGACAGAAGACACACAACCTGCCAATGTCCTCCCAAGGCTGAGAGGATAAAACTCATCAATACTTGCCCTCCTTCCAAGAGAGCTCCTCTCCTTCCAGACTGGCATTCTATTTACAGTTTCTGCTGTTCAGGACACTGAATTTCCTCAGACCCATCAAACCATTTTCAAATCCTCTTCCTTGGCAATCTAATGAATACTACATTCCATCTGCAAACATGTAGGAATGCTAGAGTGTGTTACAAGTTATAGTCTGTGTACAAATTATTGTTAAGTTAGGAAACACTATTCTCTCTCATCTTTGGGTAGCTTTCAGCTGGTATAAACATACATACCGATGAATACTTTCTGAAGCTAAACTAAGTAACGATCTTTATTTTATCTTGGGTAGGGGGCATGGCACTACAGATCAAACCTGGGGTCTTGTGCATGCTAAGCATATGTCCTGCAACTCAGGTGTACTCTAAACCGCATACTTTTAAAATTCAAGCATTACAGCAACTTCTCTGGCCTGATGGCAATTACTTTTGATTTCATGATCCTCCTGCCTTCCCCTTTTCAGCATATACTATCAATGTGCATACTACCACAACTCGCATGGCAGTTACTCTTAAGAAACCCACGACAGGATGAAAATTCTGAGTATAAGAATTCTTGTTTTGACTTTTTTTTCCAATTAAAATCACTAACAATATCAGGAATTCAGAACTTAATATTTCCTCTAGAAAATTCATTGGAAAAGCATGGAAGTAAAAATTCCTTAGGTCATGTTATTTTGGAATGTCTGTTAGGATATTAAGAGGCATCCACATACAAGGCAAATCTCAGGGATAGAACAACAATAACAAAGCCTTAACTCTTGAAAGGAGAAAAATAGTAAGTATGCTCTAAGTCCCTCAAATTATGCTTCTAGTCAAATTATTAACAGTGAAAGAGGGTAAATAATACCTAAAACATTAAAATAACCATGCCTACAAATATGTGTTACCTTTGAAAATTCTGACTTTGGTAAACAAATTTAAGTGGCTGGCAAATGAATGAGGCAAAGAGCAGATCTCATTTTTTCTGTTTTATATACTAAATCCAGCATCCAGGCTCACCTAGTCACCCTCAGCAGAGGCTGAACCAGGGTCAGAACACAACATCCAGCTCTTAGTGTTACAGTCTCCACTACTGCTGGGAATAGCTACACTTATGAAAGGCTGACTCCAGGCTTGGAGTCTTCCTTAGATGCTGGATACTTTAATTCTATCTTCATAACAACCATGTGCGGGAAGTGACATCATTATCACCCACTTTAAAGATGAGAAAAACAGAGGCATGGAGATGTTAGAAACAAAGCAAAGCAAAACAAAACAACCAGTCCAAGGTCCCAGGGAATATGTGGTAGAAACGGGAAACACTATCCTCCCTGCACAGGAAATCTAAGGCAGGGATTTCTATACTAATGTTCAATAGTCCTGGGAACATTTATTTGAACAAAGTATCTTTATAGTGACATTCAAACCGATGTCTCAGAAAAACATGATGAAACTGAAATTTCCTCTTCACCAGTCTCTGTGTTCTTGATCAAAACTCAGAGAACCCAACTATTCCAATGGATGCCACATCCATATACAGATGACTCTGTAAAGAAGCACTTAGGTAATCCTAACACATATTACATATAATACCACCTCAGGGCAACATTTCAAGAGACTAGTTAATGCTGCCTAGTTTCTGGCTTGGACCACCTTCTCTAATATTGAAATTTAAAATTCTTATACGCTAGTACTGCAGCTTAGATATAAACATTGTTTGCAGTGTCTACCAACCACCAAAACTGGATCACATCCCACCCATACTCCATATTTCAATTACTGATTTGTTTTTACATCTTGGGACACTACAAGATCTTCTTCGGGACCTGAAATTATCTCCCCATTCATCACGGCTGTAATCTCATTTAGCTAAGCTCTATCCTAAACAGATTCAGGTCAGTTTAAACCACAGAAGATGCTGGTTTCTGTGGTCATTTTGGGTACTAGAAATCCGGGGATCTTTGATGGATCTGCTTGTTCAAGATAGCCTAAAATAATCTGTGCCTTTTGAAGACTGTTCAAAAACATTGCACATTTTGGACATGACCTTAACTCACATGCTGTTTCTCTGACAATCAAAGGTCATGCCTCAACTATTACAGCTTTAAGGACTAGAGTATGAAGTGGAAAATGTTTATATCTTGCACCAACCATACCCAGAAATGTTGATACTGACATCCAGCATCACCCTGAGATGAGAGTTCAAATTACAGTTGGACAAGGCTTGTATCTGCTGTTTATTCTTTTACACTCTGCCATCCTCTCATGCATAAAAATAAATGGATGGGTTTTGTTGGAGTTGGATTTAAACTGGACCTGCCAATTATAACCCTAATTATCACATTACCAGGAGCAGCACCAGAACTGCACAGTCCTCAGCCATGCTGTATTCCCTGAAGGCAAACTTGCTAGGCTCAGGGTACCACCAACTCTGTAGTTTCCTAAGCAGTTGTTTAACCTTTTGTTCTTGAGTTTGCCTCTCTGTCAAATGAAGAGTACTATTTATCTCACCTAGGTAGTTCAAAGATTAAACCAGACAAATAATATAATGGACTTAAAAGCAGAGCCCAGCAGATTGTAGTTAATGAAGTTCACAGTCATTGTCAGGTTGGGGTGTAAGAGAAAATTTACTCCCTAGACCCCTTATCAGTCCTGGATACTAACTAGTAAGGCTGAACTAATGCTGTTTTCAGAAAATATTTCCACTTTCTGTTTTACGGAGCACAAACCACAGTGTTGAGTGGAGAGGCATCAGAGCTCACGCCACGTGTCTGTTCTCTTGCAGCCCGAGAACTCCGGGCTTTTCCAGGTGGGATAGAGAAAGGTTAGCTGTTCTATAAGTTCTCACTGTGTACTTTTTACGCAGAATTTTCCCAATCAGAAAGAGATAATTCTGGGAAGAAGAATGAAAGTTATAGGTATACAGATAATCTTGGAATTCTCTGACACTGACGACCATATGGTCCAACATTTTCATTTTAAAGATGAAAACATTGGTTTTGGTGTTAAGTGACTTGCCCAATTCTAACTAAACTAAACACCCAGTGGCAGAGCCAAGAGCAGAAAAAATGATAATTATTATCTTAAACCAATTAGTAGACATTCTCCTAAATCCATTGCAAATGCCATCTATGTAATCCTTGTATGACCCACTAAGAGGTACTATTTATTTTTACCATTTTAAAGGTACATAAACTAAAGTTTAGCTACATGCAGTAACTTCTTTAAAACCTGGCAATTGACCCTCATGTGACTCCTAGGATAAATAGCCATTCCAAGTTTTCCTGAGCAAGGTTCTGAAAGTCCCAGTACTGTGCTCCCAATCAATAATTTCCAAATTGCATGTGCATCTGCCTCATCTGAAGAACTTTTAAAAACAAATATTTCTGAATTTCCTCTAAGGGAGGAACATCAGGCTTTTGGGGACTAAGGCTTCACAATCTATCTCTATGGAGCTGGTCATTCTGATTTAGAGAGATATGAGGAACTCTGATCTAAGCAGGGTATTCTATGCCTGCTTCCAGTGTGTACTGAGATGGGACTGTGTCATCCAGGCCTCATGGAGAGTTCAGCATAGCGAAATCCATGTGAAGAGGAGAACTGTGCCCTTTCCCAGATCTTTCTGTGTTATATGACACACATATAGCCCTAATCATAGAACTCCATACATGCCTACTAAAGCCCCATCCATCCTTCAAGCTGCCTAAAGGAATTTGTTTGGCAGTGAAAGCAGCCAACACTGTATTCTACAGCAGTACCAGATTATGTGTTTTCTTGGAAATATACCAATAAACTTTCTTTCCATCCTAGTCATTTTCATTTAAAGGAACTAAGTCCAAATCATGTTTTCTTGGTGTCCAGATTAAAAACAGGGAGGTAAACTGTTTGAATGAACACTTACCAAGGTGCACCGTATATCCTGAATCCCTTCACTGTTACCTCCGAATCTTGCAAGTAAATACTGTTTGTCAGAAGGGATTGAACATTGTCAAAGTCCTCTGGTTTCAATTTGGACACAGAGGGGAAACGGTAGTAGTCCTGTTTGACGAGGTCTGCCATGAATTCCTTATCAAACGTCAGTTCATGATTCCCAGCAATCACTATTTTATATTCATATGGCAGGTTTCCTGAAATATGAAGAAGGAAAAAAGCACCAATTAGCACGTTCATTTCCCACCACAAAATACAACAGCCAAGACTGTCTGATTAGCAGACGGCTCACTCAAATGAAATAGCTCACACATTATTTCTATTTCCATGTGAACCAAATTTATGATCTCTTCTTTATGTTACCAAAATGATAATAAACAGGAGATAGTAAGCTACTAAAGAGCTAAAAAAGCTGCTAGGAAGACATTAGGCTTTCTAGCTCTTTCTTCTGTATTTCAAAGGTCCACTATGATACATCTACACACAATAAACATCCAGTTAAAAGCTTAGACTTGGTTTGGACCTCCAGAAGTAAGACAACCAAATATTCTTAATAGCTGATATAAATGCTAGATTTTTAGTACACCCATCAAACAAAAGACAAAGCAAGTCAAGTATCCTACAGAACATCCTACATTCATGAAAGAAACCACACAGTATAATTTCATATTATAATTTTAAGTTTACCTTTTGGCTTGTGAATTAAAAGAATGTTATTAAGGGTCCCCTGATTGGAATGCCAACCTTCCTCCCATTGGGAGAGAAGAGACTGTAAAGCTTAGCCCCCTTTTAATATTTATGCTATGGAAATGTGAGTTCTCGGTGTGCGCTTTTTATGCAAAAGTTTCCCGATCGAAATGAGATAATTCTGGGAAGAAGAATGAAAGCTATAAAGGAAAACCAAAACAGCAGACTTCTGCATAGATTTATAATGTTTGAATAAAGTAGAGGTCATACATATTAATAACTCACCATGATGTTATAAGAACCTAAATTCCAAAGGGAGATAGTACTGGACAGTCACCCTCATCCTGAGATTAATACTCTTTTAGCTACTCTGTCACCACCCATCCCTCAAAACTCCTTGTGGGCTGTCGCTTGTTTTATTTTATTTTGGAGAGAAAAGGGGTGGAACGATGGCACCTATAATTATAGCTTGCTGAGCCTCCTGGATTCTGTGCTAAATTAACGTGCCCCGCTATTCCAGGAAGAATTAAAATTACTGTGAGCAGGAAATCAGATACACTTGTAAGAACTGGTCCTTACCAGCAAGACAGAGTTGACGATTTCATTAAGGAAGCTTAATGGGGAAGAGAATTTTGATGGTGAGTAGTGAGCTCTGCCTTCGGTACTTGGATTTCAGCACTGCAAACTGTCAAGATTACACTGTGGAGTCCCTCGGCATCCTGGCAGCCTGCTGTTGGTGTGGCTGCTCACACAAGTGTTTTCTAAGGCTGGGGTTACATTTTATAGCATTACAATTTTCCTTTAGCTCTTGATTTTTTTTTTCAGTTTCTAATGGTAAAAAAAAAAAAAACACACACAGAAAAAACTGAATATATAGCGCGTGTTTTAACGGGGAAGTTTAAGAGAGGAATGAAAGCAGCCACAGAAAATAACACTGCAGAGTGCAGAAACCAGAAACACTGAGGCCGGGAATCAAGAGATACCCAATTACACACTCATATTGCCGTGTGATACACCTCTGGCCTCAGTTATTTGCAGGGCTGTGCTGAAGCACTCACCCAAAATAGGAAGCCACTCTAAAAGGCATGCTTATGCAAGTTTGGCAATTAGGAGTGAGATGTGTGTTGCGAATGTCTTAGATAGGTGCTGATATTTTGCACAATCCCAGCACTTGAAGCACAGTGAAAGATGGATTAACACAGTCTCAAATTCCCAGCACTGTTTGTGCTGATATCCATAAGACCCTGCAACTCTATTATCAGGGCTCGAGATTTGATAATGTACCCCCAGATTCACCTGAGTTCCCCAAGCCAGAACAAGTGAAAAATGTTTACATGAGCAGCAATCTGTTCTGAGGTAGGTGCTGCCTGTGTGGGTCTTAGGCTCACACCACAGTGCAGCAGCCTAGTTCCTGCTTGATGGTGGCGAACTCACTGGAAACCCATTCAGTAGGCACCAGTGCTCTTGCAAGGGGCACTAGATTCTTAATTTGTTCTCATTTTAGATTTTTCGGATCAAGACTTGGAGCAAAGGAAGTTTGTACACACACACACACACACACACACACACACACACATACACACACACAAGCCTTTTGCGGCAGTTTAAAAAAAAAACACACACACACACAAGGTGAGATTGCTACAGAGTAAATCCTCCTCAGGAAAACAAGCATCCTCCAGATCTTCTGTCTTTTAAATCAGATTTTGGAGAATCAGCTTAGAGAAAGAGCCGCCAAAATGAGCAGTCATAGAGCAGTGATGATATTTACACATCGCCCACAAACTCATCTCGCTCTGAGAATCCAATAGTAGTTTCCAAGTTCCGTCCTCTGTTACCTGTGTTATGAGATGTTTGACAGATTTTCCTTTCTGCTGAGCTGACCTTTCATCTATAATCTGCCAACCTTTCTGTTTTATATGAAAAGTGTAAGCAGGGCAGCTGACAAATCTCCTGTTACTTGATGGCATTTTCGGTTTTTTTTCCCCTGCAGACTAGATTAATTTGGAAGGCTCTGCAGTCAAGCTTCAAACTTCTTGGTATTCAAATAGCATCACTTTCAAATTGTCAGACAAAGAGGTGCTTGCCTTTATCCATTTTATTCACATCAGCCCATCTAGGCTGACCTGCTTGAATAAAAACCAAAGTTGTACATTGCTATTCTAACAGAAAAAAAAAAAAAAAAAAATCCCTGCTCTGTGGGACAGAACCAACCAAGTTAGTCCTGGCATGTGTCTTGGGAATGATAGGCAAAATTATTCTAGGTAGAACAGAGAGGAACCCATGATAAAATGTCAAGTCATTTACATATTTTTAAAATACGTATTTGAGGGGCTGGAGAGATGGTTCAGCAGTTAAGAGCACTGTCTGCTCTTCCAGAGGACCTGGGTTGGTTTCCCAGCACCCACATGGCAGTTAACAAGCATCTGTAACTCCAGTTCCAGGAGATCCAAAGTGCCCTCTTCTGGTTTCAGTGAGCATTCCATGCATGAATGCACTTACATGCTGGCAAAACATTCATATACATAATAAAAACAAATAAATAAAGGTATATTCAAAAACAGTGTAAATGTGATATGTAGCATCATTTTTCTATTTTTATATTTCAAGTAAGAGGTGGCTGACAGAGAACTATGGACTAAACAACAGTACAGGTAAGCTATAGGTGCAGCAACACCACTATGGCAGCAAACAAATGAATGAATGAAATATGGGAACCAGGCCATCAGCTCAAGGGACAGCCAAAGATCCTGAGTGAGCTGATAAGCAACTAAAGACAACATGTCAGCGTGTTATAGATACTCATGGCCCTGTGTGTTGGTTCAGATCAATAACCCCAGCATTCAGGAGGCCCAATTAAGAGAACTGACACAAATTCAATGCCAACCTGGGCTACACAGGTCCAGGCCAACCTGGGCTACAAAGTGAGACTCTGTCTCCCCCAAAGAAAAAGATACTCATGAAATGAAGGCCTCCTGGCTGTTCACTGCTGCACTGCCTGAACTGCCCCACACTCTTTCCCCAAAGCAGCCACCAGAAAAATTTTCTGGGTTCTTCTCCAACCCCTAGGATCCCTGTGACCAACAACATGGATAAAAGATGTAGAATCTCCTGACTTCCTAATCTTCACTTTTCTTTCATTTTATCTGCTTCTACCTTCTCAGATTGGACTTTTAACCTCTCTCCCATGCCCAGTGGCACCTTGGTCTTCCAAATATCTCCTCTCTTAGACCTCAGTGTTTTATATATGGAGTATTCTTTTGCTGAGTTTACATTTACCCATCCCAACAAAGCAAAAATAAACAGCGCTGACATGTAAACAAGTTTGCATGCAGCAAAGGTGATCCCAAATGAACTGGGATACTTCTGCATTTCTCTTCTGGAAGGAGGCCAGGTAAGATAAACTCAACCTACAGATATGTTAAGCTTACTCCTCAACTGAATTTTACTCTGAAAAATGAGCTGAAATTTAGAAAGCAGAGATGTCAGGTACAAAACAAATTTAGGGTTACCAGCCTCTCTTGGAAAAACCTCAAGATCAGGCAATGTTGACTTCCATTTGTCAACAGACCTCCCCACTCTTATGGTTGATTCTATTGGCCTACATTTCTCTTGCCTGATGGACCACTATAGTGTTACACTGAATAACTTACAAACCGAGGTGATCTGGCTTCTGTTTCTATTCTCTTCCAAAAACTTCCCTGGAACATCACTAATAACTGCCTGTGTGACAAAGCAAAGGCCTTTTTCCTTCAGTTCTCACCTGGACTGATGTGACCACAGTGATGTTACTATCTCTGCAAAGATCCTTCCCTTTCACTGGTCCTACACTCTCCAGAGTCTCCCCTCGCCGTGTAACACTCCCTCTCTCTTTCCTCAGCTCCCTTGGCATCCCATCTCACTTGACATTTACTCCATGACCCTCTCCTTCCTCTTTACATCTTCAGAAACTACTTACGGTTGTCTTGCTGTACTTTTCACATTTCTATTCTTAAGATTCAATTTTTAAACTGTTCCAACTTGGATCATAGAGAAGCATGGAGTTAATGAGCAGAGGTCCTGCATGCTTCACCATGTATCAGCTGTATGACCTTGGACAGCCGCCTTATGGTTTCAGAGTGATAAGAGCAGAGATATTAGGAGCTAAAGCTTCGAAATCTCGTGCGTGGTAAACGGCTGATACACGGTCACTATTGCTTTTCCAGTTTTCAGTTTTGTTTTCCATGTGTGACTTGTCTCCCCTTGACTTGAAGGCTGGATCATGGCTTGTGGTTCCTTGTTTCTCAAAAATACTTCCTGGTGGCAGGCACACAATTCATATTTGCTTAGAGATATGATGAGCTTCTGCAAGAGCTGCCAAAAGCTTCCTTAGAATCCAGAAACTAGATTTGACATTCCAGGCTGTGACCAAATGCAACCAGTGTCACATCATCTTCCAGGTTTAAGTTCTCATGGAGTGTCTTATTTTGTTCCCTCAACATCTGATCTAGCCAGCTAACTTCTAGCTAAT